TTTTTTTTTTATTGTATGAAAAAGGAGAGATTGGAGAATACTCACCATAAAAATTGAATCATTGTTGTTCTTTTTTCTGGCTTTCTTTCAATTAAAATAAATTTTCGTATAAAAAACCACTGTCCGATTATGCGTTTGAGTCACTGTATATAGGTATGTGTTGTAAACAAAATAGATTTGAAAAAGAAACATTGCATCGCTGCAACTCTTTGATCAGTACCTAATATTTTGAATTTTTACCACACAGTATTTCACCGATATATCCTAAACAAACAAATATAATATTAAAAGAACCTTATTGTTTGCAACTTGTTAAAATTGTCTATTGATCTCTCTTTTGATCGATCCTAGTGGGCTTCGCTAAGGAAAGCTCCTGCTTTTGCCAACTCCTCTGCTTTTTGCTTGACGAAAATGTTCCTGTGGCCGGGAACCCAGATCAAGTCTAGTTGGAGCTTGTCTTTTATTGCACTCAGTGCTTTTTGCAGTTGTGGACTATGCTGGAGTTTAACATAGGCGAAGACAAGGCCAGAAGCACAATCGGCTATCCGTAAATATTGCAGATTTACGTAGTCTCGTGGCTTTCCAATAGAACTAGCTTTTTCTATGCCCAGTACTTCCGGTTGGAAGATGCTAGCCGAGTTCGGTAGTCAGATAGAGATAGAAATGTGTAGATCAACGGAAAATACCCCCGTGCCTACTGCGCTGTCCATTTTGGACCCGTCCGTATAGACTGAGATGGTATCTTCCCTCCCTATTGAGCCTCTTCTCCATTCTCGTCTAGAGGGTATCCTCACCTCGAAGTGTCTATTGTATTCCATTTAATTTTCTAATGTTGTATTGTTCGTTTAGCGCATGCCACCATACCAGAGCTCCAAAATCAAGTATGATTATACTAGGTTTGAGGCCCCAATTCTTGCTGACGATTCTCTTGCAAGTATAGTCGGCCATGTATGCTTAATTTATTATTTTTTCTATAATTATTTTCGAGGACAGTTTGGCGTCAATCTCCACCCCCAAGTATTTAGCTGTGGGAGGAGAGAGAGGCATTTTGGTTTTGCTTGTGAATAACATCAAGTCTGTTTTGTTTGGGTCAACACCTAGTCCATTGTTCTTAGCCCATAGGTTTAATCTTTGTAGTACTCTTTTCATAGTCTCACTGACTGCTGAAGGAAACATACCTGATGCCTACAACGCTATATGGTCTGCATATGCTACTGCTTTCACTCCTCCACCGTTTAATTGGAGTAGTATTTCGTTCAGCGCTACAACCCATAGAAGCGAAAAAGAACCCCTCCCTGTGGCGTCCCTCTACTCACATAACTTATTTGTGTTGCAGCCCCATTTGAAGCTATAATCTTCCTATTCTCAAACATCGATAGTATCTATCTGCACATAGTGTTATCTATGCTACCATGTGTCAGATAATTAATTATAGCACTTACTTCTGTATTATTGAAGTCTTCTATGTCTAGAAATGCAGCCATGGTGTGCAGTACCTCGCCAACCCATTAGAAACAGGAACAGTTATTCATATAGTTTTGCGTTCAGCGTCAAATAAACCAAAGGTTATTACGATATGAGAGTTCAATTTTTTGTATAATATTTATTCGAAATATCATCTTTTCATAAAATTGAGATTAAATATCATCATTATTTTTAAATGTGGATAATTTAGGCACACATCCTTAATGTTATCTTTGAGTGGGGCTATTGTGGGATTTTTTCGGGCATATACCTTCAATTTAAGGATCATTCCACAGTTTTCGGTGGGACTTAGGTCGGTTGAATTGCCCGCCTAAGGTAATATATCGATATCCAAGTTGTGAAGAACATCAATCGTTCGTCGGGAGATGTGGCAAGGGCCTCAGCGTGCGTATAATTTCAATGTTGCCAAATCTTGAAGTACATTGGTCTACTGCTCACTACTCGTTCCCTCAACAAAATAAATTGGCCCAGGACCTTCAAAAAATATGCATCTCTAAATAATTATGGGCGGATATTTACCGTTTTTTGAATGCAGTTCTCTACATAACGTTCACACGGTCTACGACGCACAAATTGAATGGTTTCTGTCACTGCTTCTAGACGGCCTTCGTCGCTAAAGTTAATCTTTGTTAAGGAGAAAGTCATGTTAAATAGCAGCATAACTTTGAATGGGGGACTTTCGGTGGACTTTCATAACTTTTTATGTTTACCTTGTTTCAATCCACCTTTTTGTAGTTCTGATGAACTTTGACCCTTACCACTCGTTGGTTTTTTCAATTCACTTGGTCAATTTTGAT